TGGCATGTACCAGTATGACGTACGACTCTTCGGAAAATTGACATTTCGTCAAGAGCGCAAATTGCATAAGCGATTTAAGACGAATTGGATATTATATATCCCCCTAACAGAGAAGTCAATCGATACATCCCTCATGTGGCAAACGTAAAAATATATACATAAACCTCTCACAATATATCAAACTAGTCGCTGCTACCAGTGCGATGTACAGCTGGTCAGAAAATTGACATTCCGTACATAGCCCAAAGTAAATCAGACTTGTATGACAAATTAGATACTCAATATCTCATGAATAGAATGACCAATCAACAAGTCCTCGGTAGGGCAAATGTAAAAATGTATCCTGAAACATCTCACTAAATAACAAATATCATGCTGCCACCAGCGTTACGTACGACTGGTCCTCACAATATATCAAACTACTCGCTGCTACCAGTGCGATGTACAGCTGGTCCGAAAATTGACATTCCGTACATAGCCCAAAGTAAATCAGACTTGTATGACGAATTAGATACTCAATATCTCATGAATAGAACGACCAATCAACAAGTCCTCGGTAGGGCAAATGTCAAAATGTATCCAGAAACATCTCACTAAATAACAAATATCATGCTGTCACCAGCGTTACGTACGACTGGTCCGAAAATTGACATTTCCTCCAGAGCACAAACTGCATCATACATTTAAGACAAACTAGATATAAAATATATCACGAACGGGAACATCATTCATTAAATCCATTCAAGACCATACTCCAAAATATATACTTAAACGTCTCACAAAATTGCAAAGGACTGGCATGTACCAGTGTGACGTACGACTCTTCGGAAAATTGGCATTTCGTCAAGAACGCAAATTGCATAAGCGATTTGAGACGAATTTGATATCATATATCCCCCTAACAGAGAAGTCAATCGATACATCCCTCCTTTTGCAAACGTAAAAATATATACATAAACGTCTCACAATATATCAAACTAGTCGCTGCTACCAGTGCGATGTACAGCTGGTCCGAAAATTGACATTCCGTACATAGCCCAAAGTAAGTCAGACTTGTATGACGAATTAGATACTCAATATCTCATGAATAGAACGACCAATCAACTGGGAAAATGTCAAAATGTATCCTGAAACATCTTACTAAATAACAAATATCATGCTGTCACCACCGTTACGTACGACTGGTCCGAAAATTGACATTTCCTCCAGAGCACTAACTGCATCATAGATTTAAGACGAATTAAATATAAAATATATCACGAATGGGAATATCATTCATTAAATCCATTCAAGAGCATACTCCAAAATATATACTTAAACGTCTCACAAAATTGCAAAGGACTGGCATGTAACAGTGTGACGTACGACTGGTCAGAAAATTGACATTTCGTCAAGAGCGCAAATTGCATAAGCGATTTAGGACGAATTGGATATTATATATCCCCCTAACAGAGAAGTCAATCGATACATCCCTCCTTTGGCAAACGTAAAAATATATACATAAACGTCTCACAATATATCAAACTAGTCGCTGCTACCAGTGCGATGTACAGCTGGTCAGAAAATTGACATTCCGTACATAGCCCAAAGTAAATCAGACTTGTATGACAAATTAGATACTCAATATCTCATGAATAGAATGACCAATCAACAAGTCCTTGGTAGGGAAAATGTAAAAATGTATCCTGAAACATCTCACCAAATAACAAATATCATGCTGCCACCAGCGTTACGTACGACTGGTCCGAAAATTGACATTTCCTCCAGAGCACAAACTGCATCATAGATTTAAGACGAACTAAATATAAAATATATCACGAACGGGAACATCATTCATTAAATCCATTCAAGATCATACTCCAAAATATATACTTAAATACTCTTTGAAAAACATGCCGAATGATAAAACACCCGGAAACGATGGATTCACCACAAACTTTTATAAATTTTTTTGGATTGATATTAAAACGCTTGTTGTAGATAGTTTAAATTATGCATTCCAAACCGGAGAAATGTCGGTTAGTCAAAAACAAGGAGTAATTATTCTTATTCCTAAGAAAGATAAACTAAGATTGTTTTTAAAAAATTGGCGACCGATCACACTCCTAAATACGGACTATAAAATCTGCACTAAAGCAATAGCCAACAGAATCAGAAAAGTTTTGCCAACTATAAACAGGATCTTAAGAGGTTCTGGACAAATCATTTGATTCTGGACTTGACATATTTTTTTTCCAACGAAATCACATCCAAGGGTTGAATTTTTATTGGATATTTAGAGAGCGAGTCCTGTATTGATTTCAATAAAAAGGTTAAAATAGAACGCTATTTGAGAGTTAATCTTATACTTTCATTACATTGATAAATTAAGGCAAATTCTGAAAAATTTTAAAGTGCATTTTTTATGAAATATTATCCAAGTATTTAGATGAAACGGTCTTATTTAAATACAAATCATAACATGATGATATTTTTTCATAAAATATTTCTTCAAGAAATTCAATTGAAGGCTCAAGATAAAACGAGCTTATTTAGGTGAAAACCCTTACATGATGATGTGTTTTCATGACTTCTTTCATAAAATTCCATCAAGGGGTGAAAATAAAATGATCGAATTTAAGTGATTTAAGGATCACGAGGATAGGTTTTCTTGGATATTTTCTATGAAATCCCATCCAGTGGTCAAGGTAAAATTTTTATTTGGTATATTTGGTCACGTGTTCGAACCCATAGAACCATATAGGAACGTCATTTTGAATGTTACGTGATAAATCCATATAAGGCTTTTAGAACAATGTGGGGAAAGATGAGGGGAAACCCCTGACACCTGTTCACGATTTTATCCGAACGTTCATCGGATCATTTCGGTTTTTATGCACTTCATTATTTTACCGAAGTTTGCCGATTCGATTCGTCGTATTTCGGAATATTGGGGACAATTTTATACTCCATTGGGAGTATTTTTAATCTACTTCTTATTACGAAGATTCCCGAACCTTGTTCGGATTAATCCGGATTTTCTGACCTACTTCATCTACCGAGATTTAACGAGTTTACATTCGGCTCATTTCGGAATCCTGGTGACAATTTTATACTCCATTGGAGTATTTTTGATCTACTTCTTATGACGAAGATTTCCGAACCTTGTTCGGATTAATCCGGATTTTCTGACCTACTTCATCTACCGAGATTTAACGAGTTTACATTCGTCTCATTTCGGAATCCTGGTGACAATTTTATACTCCATTGGAGTATTTTTGATCTACTTTTTCTGGATTTTGCCCTACTTATTATATCTTTACAACAAGCAAATCAAAAAATTCGCCATGAACGGGTCTCGATCGACTAACCTAGAGCATGGAAGCTAGGCACGTTAGCCATGAGGCTAACGTGCAACCGATACGAAAGGATAAAAGTATTATATATTTATACCGAGCGTCAATTCAAAATGATCTTCACTTTTGACTGCACGTAAATACAACTCGTCAGTTGTATCCAGAATAGATGAACGCCTATGGTACTAGTGAATAACCAAGTCCCATGCGAGTGGTTCGCACCCCACCGTGATATGTTATTTTTGCTTTTTTAATACGACAGAAAGGAGCAAGGTCACTGGCATGTAGCGGTCCTGATATCGATACATTCTACACGCAATAAAACCAGATACCTGCGTGTGATTAAAACTACATGTTAGAGCGTCGATATCCTACAAATCCTATTTTTTCATAAAAATATTTTTTCATGAAATCCAATCGAAGGGTGAAGATAAAACTATCTTTTAGGTAAAACAGCTTTACATGATCTGGTGATGTGTTTTCATAACTTTTTTCATAAAAGACCATTCTCGGTTTGGAGAACAAAGTTCGTCACTCTAATTGAGCGTTATCCCTGCTTCGGACAAATTTGATTTTTTTACATAATATAGATTTGAATGTCTTCTTTTGAATAGTCATAGTTTAATTTGGGTTATATTTCTAGATTTTTCATATAAAAATTACTAGTGAAACACCCAACGTCGCTTTTATGATTCGTACCACTTTTTTAACTTGGTGTATTGCATATTTCCGTGGGTTGATTTGAAAAAAAGACAAACAACGTATACATGAATATGTCATAAGCATATAGTGAGATAATTGTTAGATTAGGTTTGCTATAAGTGACTTTAAAACAAAAAAATAAAAAACATTAGTTCACGTGTTAAAGTCCCATTGACCACGACATCAAGGAAAATTGAGCTTTTTGTCATCAGACATCTTTATAGATGGAACTAGCTATGTACTACATTTTTAAATACACTCACATTGTACATGTAGCTGTAAT